ATAAATGGAAAACTTACATAAATAAAGATATACTGGTGCTGAATAGTCTTGTATTATAGTTCTGTCCTAAAACGTAATCTTAACGTAAACAAGATGGCCGCTCCTACTGAGCCGGTCAGCGGTATCTAACTCGTGTCCAGGCCCTAGTGGCCAGTAGAGAACTCTTCACTTTTGACAGACAAACACTGTCTGATTCTATCCCTTTATTGAAAATCTAATTACACTCTTAGTTCCTTATTATATAGCTGTTGTTGCTTGGCAGTCTGCGGTGTTGAGAAGTAGGAGGAAGATTTTATTATTTTATTTTATCATTTAAAATTAATGTTCTTTCTCCTTCTCTTCTTCATAACATCACCTAATAATGAGTAGACTTCAAAGTCCTTCATCTTCAAATAAAGCACAGGAAGCCCAACCATGATCGCACTCCCAGAATGAAGGACTTTTCCAAATTGTATCCCACAAATTTTGACACCCAAAATGTTTTGCTGATCGCACTCTTTATCAAAGTATAAAAATTTAGCTCATGGTACAGAAATACATGGTATTATTGGCGTGAAACACAAATGAAGATCCTGTGATGAACAAGTCGACCCCTTACAACAATTACTTTGATGCTCCCTTTTTTTACATGCTTTGCTTGTGGCTCAGAGGGGTTGACTTGAAGCGAGGCAGATAACATGTATAACTAATGCATACTAAATTAACGTGAATGATTTTAAACATTGTTTTCCTTGCTACACGCTTTTTGATACAAAAGTTGAAACAGGAAAAAGTTCGATTTTGTTCATAATGATTGACAGCAGTCTATTGTTGATTTTCCTATCATAGCTTTTGTGTCAATCAGTACACGCATGTGTAGTAATGAAACGGCAGTAACTTGAATTTTTACACACTGTTTTCTAGTATTTTCCACTTTGGACCGTTACCATTCCAACTCTCAGATAGCAGCTGTTCAATGTAGAATATGTCCCTTTCCTGTTATTGTGCAGGTATGTACATTCACTGTATCTCTGCATTAGGATTCATCTAATATCTGCATCATTTCATCATCTCATCATCTTCCGTGCCACCCATGCCACCGTGATTGATCATGGCAGGCAGCTGATTGACCATTATTTTAAGCCCTGTGGTTTTCAATTGCAATTTCTCTCCTTTCAGGAATGTTCAGGACTTTACGTCATATCTGTAGACCTCATGTACCGGCTACATTCAAGTGAGTTGCAATGCTTTAGTTCTTGTAGAGTATTTTAGAGTTTAATTTGTGATCACGTAAGACTAAGTTTATAACATCATTTATAGGAACATAGTGGCTGCGGCACAGAATAGTAAGTGTTATATGCTTTATGATACTGAGGCTGATTGAAATGATTTGATTTATACTTCCCAGGTCTACCTGTTGATACTCTAGATGGACACAGAGAGAGATTCTATGCACATTTTAAAGAGTAAGTATAGCACAAAATAGATTACGAGGATCACCAAGCAAAGGGAAAGGTCTCAGTTTTCAAATCCTTGTGTGTGTGTGTGTGTGTTTGGGAGGGGGGGGGGGTAGCAATTTTCTTTAAGCTGATTCATCCCATTTAAGATTTATTCCATTGTGCCTGAAATTGCATATTATCAAGAACACCTCTCTCACTAAGTTCATTGCTTTTAACCCTTAAAGATAAATGTCACCTCATAAATGTTTCAAGGCTGATGTGATAAATATTACCACACACATCGTACTGACTATTAGATTCTGACAATCTTTTCATAATTTATAACAGATTAAAAAGTTTCTACTTCGATGCTGGCAACATGGCTTATGTTAAATCTTTAGTTGTGGTTCCAACATTACCAGAGGTATGTATAAATATTATTTTTTACTGTATTTTTGAATGATTTGATCAGATCAAAGGTTGTTTCAGGGTATTCATAAATTTGATGTTGTTTTTTGCATATCATATACCTAACCTTCAGTTAAAAACTGAGCACTATTTAGCAATTAGTCCTCGATCCTGAATAAGCTATGAGTCAATAGCCCTTGAGGCCAAAGAAGTTGGTCAAATGTATAGATGCAAACAAGTTTTAAATTAAAGTTAAATTTAATGTTTTGGTTTTCAAAGCTGGCCTTATTCACTACTAGTAGACTATAAGTTATAGCCTAGTAGTAGCTCATCCAATCAGAATGCAGCACTGATGATAGACCAATAGTTGGATTGTGTAGTTCCAGAAAATATCCGTACCCCACCCACGGAAGAAATTGTAAATTCTGGAGGGGAGGGGGGTCAGAGAAAGGACAAAATTACAAAGTTGGTATGGAAGAAAATTCATAATATAGTAAATATAACTAATATGGTTTCTGTTCACAGAATCCACCATCATTCCTACCAACTGATAGTAAAGGTGTGCTAAGGAGAAGTACCAGCTATGAAGGCCCTAAGACAGAGAAAATCCCTCTTCCTAGTCAAGATCCTAAACGACAAAGCTTGATGGAACCCCTTACTGTTGCCATGTCAGAGCCAGTGGTTGAAACGATGATTGTAAGAATTTTTTTAAAATTTATTTTGATCACTTATAACTTATTGATAATATATATATTATATCAATTTGTTTTTATTAGTTACTTATAAATATATAAATATAATTATACTTTTGGCAGCATTTTATGAAGTGCTTACATTGATGTAACTTTGTTAAATTTGAAATTAATTAGGATGAAAGTGACTTTTTTGGATCATCATTGCAAGATGGGCCACCGCCACCAGCTAGATTTGAAAGGTATTATTGGCAGCTATTTTAGTAGATAAATTTTATTTCCTTTTGAATGCCAGGGCTTAGAATATTGTCCGGACATCGGACAATGTCTGCCCAAAATTGGGACTAGTCAGCTGGTCAAGCCTTTGCTTTACTACTCATTCATTTTGACCAGTAATGTTGAGCCAGAAGGGAAATATGACTGGCGAAAACTAATTTGGCTTGTAATCATGATGGATGACTGACCAGCAATTATATTTAGCCCAAAATGTCTTCCATTTTCCCTTCCATTTTTTCTTCCATTTTTTCATTCAGTTTTCCATTCAATTTTCCATTCAATTTGATATATATAATAATGATAATAATAATATTTATTTATATAGCACTAAATCCACTAATTGCTCAGAGTGTAGTGTTACTTCCCATTTTTGCATTCATGCCATTGCATTTATGCTCATTCAATGTGCCATTCACTTTCCTGCAACTCTACTTTTGTATTGACTAATGTGGACTCATAACTATAACTTTCATTCTCATTTTCGTTCATTTTCTCATTTCTGTGTCCCATTCCATTTTCACTTTAAATGTCTCATCATTCAAATTTCCTATTACCCCCCCCCCCCCCC